GTGCGGCCGCGCTGCATCTTGGCATCCTCCGCATCTTTTTTAAATGTGGAAATCGAATTCTATGTAGGAACACGACAGAAGAGGCTACAGGGCTGTTTTAGGCATGCGTGGGTTTTTTACCGTGATCAAGTATCGGTATGTAAAGTGTCAGACTTTGCATTTCTCACTAGATAGACCTACAGATGCTGGGCCTGGCTGGTGGTTTTTGGGCCGTTTCCAACGACCCCACCAGGTTGTTCCCTCCCTCCGTGTTTCTGTCCCCTAGATCCCCCTTTGCCCCTCCAGTTCCCTGTCAGAGCTATGGCTCATCCACTTCTTCATCACAAAATCACCAGTATCTAGGATGCTTTCCAACCTTTTTCTCACTCCTAGTTGAAAGTACACACAGCACATCAGTCTGTCTGTGGTGGAGCTGCAAAAAGCGTTGCTGGGGCCTTTTCGCATTTTTAGTGTGATATTCTTGCTGTATACGTGAGATAGAAATGATTCAGACAGTGTGCAGGAGCAGTATGTCATGATTTATTTGTGCTACTCTTAAAATTTCTTCATAAAAGGGTACAGTTTTTAGGCCGAGTATAACATTCAGTATTTTCTAAATATCTAACAAAAGATACCTGCCAGTACGCAACTAAAAGTCTAAGGGGATCTGGAGCCTCACACTACACTGATTGTATTTTCCAGGTGTTCACTGTTGAAGAAATGATGCCTCATGTCCAACACATGAAAGGAGGTCACAGTAAAAACCTTTTTCTTAAAGACAAAAAGAAGAAAGGGTTCTGGCTGGTGACTGTTCTGCACAACAGGCAAATCAATTTAAATGATCTTGCTAAACAACTGGGTGTCGGAAGTGGAAACCTAAGATTTGCTGATGAAAACGCCATGCTGGAGAAGCTAAAAGTGGGCCAGGGCTGTGCGACACCCCTCGCCCTCTTCTGTGACCAGGGAGATGTGAGGTTTGTACTGGATGCTGGTTTTCTGGAAGGCGGCCACGAAAAGGTGTATTTTCATCCAATGACAAATGCTGCAACCATGGGCTTAAGCCCCGATGACTTTTTGAAGTTCGTGAGATCAACAGGCCATGAGCCCATCATCGTACATTTTGATGAAGACAGTAGGTAGATGAAGTTCACTTTTCTATTGCTAGGCATAGGTTTTGTAGAGCAAAACTGGTGAAAGTCTCATTACAAATAAAATTTGAAAAAAACCAGGCTTACTCCTTTATTTTTTTCAATTGTGTAAGTTTATACTGTATAATGTGGTGAGAAAAAAATACTGTCTTCAGGTTATGGGAAGTTTAACAGTATATTCTTAAAAAGACAAGACATATTTGCAATTTAGCACTAAGTAACCAGTAAGTAGAAAAGGCATCATTTAAATAGTGTTATAGTCTTTACTCATAAAATGGGTAAACCCAGAACTTTTCCATGTGCGGTACTGGCCTTGAAGGTTTAAACTTAAAACAACATCATTAGGAAATAAGAAATTAACGTAGAAGTTATAATATATATGTCAATACACACCGATGTCTAAATTGTGTACCTGTACCCATTTATCCCTTACTACACATCGCTTGGTTTTTACCTAGAAAACCCAACTTCGCTACCCTACAGAAGACTCGTTTGATTGTCTACGTTTTTAGTTGCATTTTGACTTTCACAGTGTCCTCCCCTTGGGAAAGGGTTATTAAGTCTTCTGACTACTACTTGCCCCGTGAAGACAGGTGCATGCCTCACCCCTTTCCAGAGCCCCTCCTGAACTGGCAGAAGAGGAGGGAGCCATCTGACAGCAGACGGGGTGTGACCCCAGTACCAGCCTCTCTCCTGGCAGAAGAGCTCCAGGAATGATGTCACTGCGGGCTCCTGACCAGGTGTAGGGTGTCTGGGTGAGACCTGGGAGGACAGTTAATACAACCCTGAACTGCATTAGCGTTTGTGCACAATTTCTACAGGTTCAGGAACCCATGAGGACGTGCATCTTCTCTGCTCCACTATGCCTTAACCAGCACCTACAGAAATGGAAAGAACGGCACAAGCAGCTGTACTTGAGCTTCTCCCTTCAGGGAGAACAATCGTCCGTGTGTTTAAGAGGAGGCCAACCTGGCTTTCAATAGATGATTTTGTATAGAAAAGTACCTACTATCACAAGACCAGCCCATTCTCAACGTTAACCTGCTAATCCAATTCTTTCTCCTCCTCTCTCCTGCCTAAATGAATAAAAACCCCCTTCAAACAGCTTGTGTGTCGAAGACAGAAGCAGCAGAAACTCCACGAAGTCCAGCAAGCGTACTGTGGCAACGAGTACCCACACAAAACCCAAAGATGGGCGTAGTGAAAGTGAGGGACAAAAATCTGAAGGTGATGGGGAAAAGGGCTTTTGAGCACAGCTGAACCAAAATGTCACGTACAAAGTGCCTAAAGGCAAGCAACTGTGTTAACACGAGCCGAGACAGAACAGAAATAAAATTCTACGGAATGAACAACTACCACTAACTGAGTGAGAAAAAGCATCTTCTAGGGCAAGGCAAGTTACTTCACAAACATCCTTACCATGGCTTCCTTCATTTCTGAAGGATCTGGCACCTGATCTCAGAGAGGTGAGCTTAATGACAGAATGCTTCACAGTACAGCAGTTCTCCCCACCACACTAGGAGGGGACAAACCGACCCCTGGCAGCCCTCTCAAATGGGAAAGGACTCACCTAAAAATGTTGAAGCTATAGGAAGAGTCACTCAAAGGATGTCCAATATGTGTGATTTTCGATTTGTCACTAAAAGACTGAAAGGAACAGCTGGTATTTGGCAATATTGGGTTGATCAATGAACTCTGGATTGACAAATGCATTACTAAATGAGATGTTAAGATAACAGTCCGACACGTCTTTTAAAATTTATCTTGCCCTCTGCTTGCCACTCACTCTCCCTCCCCTTTAAGGAGTACCTCTTTGTGGTATCCCAAAATCCCTTCTCACATAAAAAATAATATTGACTTGTCAAGGTTTTTCCATCCAGAAAGCTTTAAATGTGAAAAATTGTTCACAAGACATGTGCACAATAGCAGTTTACAATGCTTCATGAATCTTAAAAATCTGTGCTACCTAAAATTTAACTACCTTTGTCCTCAGCAGAGATTCTAAGACTTGTCTTGGCAAAAATAACGACCAAGCAAAAGCAAAGTGTCAAATACTACATTTGGCAAATCTATAATGATTTCTTTTTGTATTTACTTATGAAATTAGTGTCTTTTTAAAATTTTAAATAATACCAAAATAGTGTATAGTTAAAAGCTACGCAGGTCTACGCAAATAAATGACACGAAACAAACTATACACTGTCCAGAAAAATTCTGCTACAGTTTTATCGGTTTCCTTCTGAAAGAAACGCTCACTGAACACATCACCAACTGACCACAACGCCATTACTTAACACCAATATCCTTCCAATAACATCAGTTTCCAGAAAAAAGTGTGTATAAGTGTACACACAAAATAAGAATAAAAATTACTTGGTTTGGCATTTTAATAACATCGTTAATAAATGTATACAATGGCAAACATTAAAAAAATCAATATGTAAAGGAAATTACAGTTTTAAATAAGAGCTTTTTAAGTTTTGTTTCACACCTAGGTACATTCCTTTAAGGCAGTTTTATTAATATCAAAGCATTATTTACACATACAGTATCACCTAACTAAAAATGATACACGAGCTCCTTTGTTGAGGCTGCATCATGTCTTGGGAAAAGTTTAGAAATAATACATGTTGGGAATGTTACTAAGTCCTCAGCAGACTATCACAAAAGGAAATAAAAAATATACATTATATAGTACTACAACCTCTTCTGTGATCTTGAACTAGCAGTGACAGATTTGGCAAGTCTTGCGGTAAAAAGCTGTGTGTACTCTTGTTGTATGCTGACAGCCGCTGTGGTCTTCCCCTGGGAGTTCGCGTTTCAGGAAATGTGAGGCAGCTCCCAAATTAAACCTACATTTTTGTTTTATTTTAAGGGCACAGACTGGAAAGATGAAGGAAAAAGAAAATGATCCCACTCCAGCCCCTGTACTGATGGAGACAAAGTGGCTCGAAACCTGGTTGCAGTGGCAGAGGGGCACTAGCCAGGACCCCGGCACACGAACCTGACCTGCGCCAGGCTCTGACCTAGCGGGACCAATCCTGCTCCCAAACTCCTGCCGAGTCTGTCCTACAAGGGAACGTCGCTCAGGGTTTGGGATGAGGGGCTTTGCTTCTGACACGCCTTATCCATTAAGCAGCAACTGTGAAGTTTATGACTACGCCCTGGCTGCGACTGCACAGCTCCCGGCAGAGAAGCACGTGCCAGGCGGCCACGGCGATGCACTGCTCTTGCCCAATTCCCAGGGTCTCGCAGAATCTACCTCAACACGTGCGACTGCTCAGACTCTGTCGATACAAACAGCATTTGGCACTACGAGTTTCAATCTGTTAATTCAAGACACACATGTTCTTCTAAAAATAGTAATGCTACTAAACAGTTAGGGTTTAATGCTTTGAAGTGCACCAGTCCTCTGTTGTCAGAGCCAGGAGAACCCAGTCACAATCAGACCCTGAAACGAGCTTGAAAATATAATTTCCCTATTATTTATGGTATTTCCTTTCTCTTTCATAACAACTTTGCCTTTAGTAAGGGCTACCGGCATTCCAGAGTGCATCTCTGCCTACGAAATTCTGTAAAGGCAACTCTTCCTTCAGTCCGTATGGCTCTGCCTATATTGTGGTACAAGAACAGCCCAGAAAGCAGGCGCAGCACCCAATTCTTACTGCGTTGAGTACTTTTCTCCTACAGTGTGTTCTGCCTGTCTCACCTGGCATTGGGGGAGAAACTCAGCTGCACCCTGAGCTTTGAGTTCACACAGGAACGCTCAGATTACCTGTCTAGGGGTGTACAGCCTGAGACACCGCACCTCTTCTAGCCATGACCATCCATCCCACCCGCCGTGCCAGTGGCATCGCGTAGCTGTCATTGCAGTGTCGGGAATGCCTGAATCCTTCTCAAAAACCTCATAGTATCAGTTACCACACGGGAAATTACTCCAAATGCAACTGAGCTCAGGCTGCCTACAAAAAAACATGTGGAGCTGGATTTCTGGAGTGCTCTGGGCTTCAGATGGCTTCTGGGATTGCTGATCTATGTCAATACTCTGCAAAAATCACCATGCTTCCTCCGAAATCGGTGAAAATTCTACGAAAATCTTGATGCTGAGAATAAGGGACCAGAAATGGATGCTGGTATGAGTTGGTAATTAAAATAAACCAATCATTTTAATGAAATGCCAGAAACTTCCTCAGAGGAAGAACGGCAATTCTATATACTGGAAAGCTGCCAAATTGGTCCTATTTTCAATTAAGGAAAAAAAAAAGTTTAAATTCTCTGTGAAAACAATCCCAGGCTAAACCAAGTGTTTATATGGTAAAACCAAAATACTCTGTTTAGATCTAGATCTTTTAGCACATTTTATTAGAAAAAGTATTTCAGAAGGAAGTCACTTTAAGGAAAAAAAAAAAACAAACCCAAGAAAATAGCCTCTTCTAAAGCTTATTGGTCTTTCCTCTTTTTTCCCCTTTTTGACAAAATTCCAATAAAATAATAATTTAAAAAAGACTTGCCAGTATGCTTTTGAATCTGCTGAACTGCATTCTCTTTCCAGCGAAAAATGATTCTGGTCCAACTGTCCCTGACAGCTTGAGAGTTTGTAAATGATCAAACCCAGGAGCCTCAGGAAACGAGTCGTTAAGTTGACGAAGCTGACCTATGTGAATGGAGGCAGCCATAGGTAGAAGTTGGAAGCGGGACACTACGAGGTTATACAGTTAACGTAACCCTAATGTGAACGTACTGATTTGTAATTAAATAGAATTATGATAACTCATTTTGAGTCTGCTTATAAATTCACGTACGCTTCTCCTGAGCTCTCTGCAAGTGCCTTCCAGACAACAAATGTAGGCAACCACTGAATGTACCAATAACATTTGTTGGCTTTAATATAAATCAATAATGAACAAAACGTTTCTTACTAATAAAAGCTAACCTTCAGGGGAACTGATTGTAAAATGCCTCTGATATTATTTACATTTCTTTTTGCCATCAAGAAACCTCCTAAGCCACAATCAGCTCATGTCAAAAGACAATAAAAAAAAATAAATCAGTCGATACACAAACATCATGAGACAGTCTTATCCTGGAAATGCCATTTGTTGAAAACACCCTTATATTAAAATAAAAGTTATAGAAAAATCATACCTGGCAATTTCCTGTCAGAAACATCCGAACATATATATGCAGAATAACTCGGGAATGTGAAAAACACAAATGACGAACAATTTCTATATAATACGATTATCCCATGACTCCCACTTTTGTTAGTTATGGAACTTTTTCATGTAGGTAAACAATTTTTTCTCTTGCAGTATGCAACAAAAATCAGCATAAACTTTTTAAAGAGCAATTTCATGCAGATTATGCTAACCAAATAAGGCCGTGAAGTGCCAGCAAGCTGTGAGGTTTTTGTACCTGTATATACAGTCATTTTCAACAAAATACTACAGCATTTATTTGAGATTTACAGAAGTAAATATAAACTGCTAGTTAGGGGGTTTTTGGCTAATTATTAGCAGAAGCTTAAGCAAATCAGTGGCTAATGTCATAAACAGAAGATGAAAGAAGTTTTGTTTTTTTTTTCCTGGAGTAATTCTTGAGACCTTGGTCCTTAGGGAGATGAGAACTGTCCTTTATTCAGTAGATCTTAACAGTGCAATGTGCAATAATTCCTAAGACCATCTACAAATTTTCGGCAGTAGACTCCGGTAGAGCTCCTTGATTCAAGGAAGGAAGGAAGGTAGGTAGGTTTTTATTTCTCGCCTGCTCTAGTCACGAAGAACGTAAAAAAATTCCCTTAATTTTTATTAATGATTCCTACAGTCGCTGTCTTGTTACTTCAGATATAAAGGCTTCACACTGAGATACTGAAGGACACTTTTCTCTCTGTGTTCAGTTGGAAGGCAGAAAGAGAAAAGAACATAAGAAAAGCTTCAAGTGTAGAAATGTAAAACACAGAGTTAAGTCGCTAACAGAACTAACAGCACTAATAGCATGCATCAAAGATGTTTTAATGAAGTCAAGAGAAGGACAGAATGCCAAAGACAAGCTTTATAAAAAGGCAGTTTCCTTGTAGCACAGAATACTTTATATGTTTTGTTAAACTTTTCTTTTAATCTGTCCCTTTCTAAGAACTGACTTCAATGTTACTTCTTAATGTGATTTCTTTGAACTTTCTTCTTCAACAGCTTTGAAAAACACAAATAAATGTAATTTTTATAGGCAAAAGGCTAAACAGGATGAAGTTCCCTGCCTACACAGGCAAAATAACTGCTGTAAACTGACCTGTCCTGGCTTAACTAATAAGCAAGATAGAAGCCAGTTAAGCAAGCAGTATTGACATCTGGTTAATGCAAAGTGCACTTGTTCTTACAGGTAATGCTGTTAGTTTGTTGTAAATGAAATTAATCTCATTTACGTTTTGGGCAGGAAACTCACCACTTGGCCCACATCTCATGTAGTGGGTAATAGAATTAGGAGCTTTGTTGCTCCCTAGACCTGCTTTTTGAATTTCTGCTTTCTGGGATAGCTTCCACATCTGCAGAGAAAAGCATTTCACGTTATTCATTGTGTTTATCAGGACATGAAAAAAACCCTCATGCATTAAAATACATTCTACTTATTAGTAGAGCAAAAGGATATATAAACACTTTTTTTAGAGGAAAGGACAGAGGAGAGGGATAGAAGAAACTCACTGGAAAGGCCTACTCATTAAAATTCATCTTAGCATTTAGAGTAACCAGGTATTATTTTCAAAGTCACAATCAGATATACTTAACTTTTAGATAAACTAACCCTAAATTTCTGCCTGTATGAAAAGGAAAAACAATTGGATGTAGTCAGGGCTGACTGAACCCAGCAGGGAATGTAACTCATCTTTGCACTTTTCACCTGCTATACATTGACAGAAACGTTGGCATTCAGTTCCACAAATCAGAAAACTACCTTTGCATGCAACAGCCTGAGCGTGCAAAATGCAGTATCTGAATTCACTGTTCACTTAAAGCAAAGCATCAAGCAAACCTTTCACTGCAAGCAAATCATTGGCCCCCAACAACAAAACCTTTTTTTCACCAGCAGCCACATATTTAGCGTTTAGAATTACCATGCAGAGTCCTAACTTCTGATTCTTAAAGTCAGCAGGGACCAAGGAAAAAGCAAGCGCAGCGAGTGTTTTACAGCCAGCCAGTGATTGGGTCTGAAAGGAATTTCCCAGATCCTTCCACTAGTTGAGCACAGACCGAAAGAGACATCCATGGTGTATGTATTGTTAGAGTGTAAAGACCAAAAAGGGAGGAAAAATGATCCTCTACATGAAAACATTTGTTTTCTTTCATATACAATAAACAAATGTTGACAATTTCTTTTCAGAGACTTTATAAAGTCTCCAGCAGCACGCTGCTGCAGCTGAACTCGATGGAGCAAAAATAGGAGCACAAAAAGTTCTTAACCTCAGAACTGAAATTTAATTCATTACAAATTTATAAAACAACACAAAATAGCAGCCTGAGCTGGACACGGTTAGTTTCTAACTCGCACTGAGGATCCGAGACATGAGTGTTCAGAGACACTAACAGTTATACTGAAGGTCTTTGCGTTTAAGAGAGAAGCTGTTTTAATGCTGCCCCCCACTAAGGTAAAACACGGGCTAAAAAGACATTAAATATCAGGCATAAATACTCACTGTCAGATCTGGTTTGTATGCAACAGCTTAGTGCTGTGAAAAGAAATGAAACAATGCAAACTGAAGTGCCCACGGGCACTGGCTGGAAAAAAAAAAAACGTATTTTGTTGCCTTGACAGCAAGCTTTAACATCGCTCTGCAGGGGGAACCTCCAACATTTCTCTTTAGACCTTGGCCTTGCTCACCATTACAAATCAGGGTTCAGTGGTCATGCTGGAGAGTTTGTTATACACGCACCTGGAGACAATACTGGTATTTTTTGTAGCTGCAACAGTCTAAGGACCTAAGCAAATTAGGCTGGCAAATAAGGTAACAGCAAGCCTGGAAGCTTAGCCGGTTTCTCAAACAACAGCAGTTGATCTAAGCAGAAGGTACTACCCCTATTACAAACCTTCTTCTGATCGTAACAAGCAGCCTCACTGCAAGACGCAGGCTTGCAATCAGTGAAGAAAAATACAGATACTGATAGCACAGTATGGGTTTATAATAAGTACTCTCAGAGCTAACGAGATTTTTTTTCTACACTTCCTTAAATAACTTGCAAAACGTGTAATGCGCACGTCCCTTCAGATAGCAGCACTGTTCAGTTCCAAGCTAATCCAAACACATGTCCAGATCGATGGAAATGAAGTCAAATGACATGACCCAAGGTCAGCACACTGATCTCACTCCACGAGTAAATGGGCGTGAAATTAAGATTATATTTTGGGTTTGGGTTTATTTTTTTTTAAACAGTGAGACAATTCTCAAGGGAATACAGCAAGAACTAAGAACACACTGCGAACAACACTGAAGAGAAGTGAGAAATTTACCAGTCCAACAATGATGGATGCCCGCAGACACGGCAAAGGATGGCTGCTTGACATTTTGAAACGGTAATTCTACCGTCCACAGAACGTCTTTGAGACATCCAGTCTTCTCCCCTCACTCCTTTTCCCCAGGGAAACGTGGGACGCCTGCTGCTCTTCCCTGAGGAGCCCTGTATTTGCAGCACTTTTACCCCTCCCTACTTAAACACTACGGAATTAAAGTTCAACCCGCACAGCAGTACCATGACTGCCACAAAACTGCTGGCAAAATAAATTCAATTGTAAAAATCAGAATATGACATTCATTATTTTCAATATTTATTTTCAATTTTTCCTCTAGTTGTATTTTCATTCAGGTTTTTTATAGCGTGTATAGTTTTGGCCTACAATGACTGTCAGTAACTATCTCCTCTTGCAGAAAAGTCCTAATGTCTAAAGCCTCATGTAATGATAGTTTAAGTATGATACAATTTTAAACTCTGTTTATATTTACAATTAAGAAGTTTCAAACAATTGCAGAGACAGTGGCATATTGAGTAATTACTTTTCAACAGTTCTCTTTAGCTGGTCATCTAGGCTTTAACGAGTTGTTCCTACACTCCCATAACCTTGTAAGCATTTTTTTAATCTTCTTTTATTTAACTGTGTTAATTTAACAGTTTTCCTGTTATTTTCTTATACATCTTGTTTTCTATTGTATTAGTGTTACTTCTATTGAGAAGAAAAAAAAAAAATGTATTTCCACCATAATGAATACAGGTTTTTATTACCACACATCACAAGGAGTCTCCTGTAAACTCTGTTATTTGACTCCTAATAAAACCATACACTTCACATTTGGACACCAGACGTGGAAAGACAAAGCATACAAAAGGGAAAAGGTGGAAAGGGTCGTTTTTTCATTGAGTGCTGCGTATCATGTGACTATTTATTACCTCTCCATAAGAATTATCATTTGTGTTGAGGATTACGAATGATCTTTGTATTTAGTAATGTTCAAATATTTTAGTAAGTATGAACTGTGATTCATATTTATTGTGCGGGCTAGAAGCACTGAATTATTGGGCTGTAACTTGTGTAACGTGCATTTATGCCAGGACATGGCATAAATGAGAAGGGTAAGATGCTGAAATCTCTCTAAATGCTTCATTAGTATCTCAATTTTGAAAGAAGGGAGGGAAAAGTATTTTTACTCCAAATACAAAATCAATGTGTTACTGACACATCTGAAAGCACAATACTGATACAAACTGAAAAGTACGGTCTTTGTGTCAGAAAGCATGTTGTTCACCGAGCCATTTTTGGCAATGCAGCATGCAGTTGGTTTGACATGCATTCAGTAATGGACAGGAAAAAACCAAAATATTTGTAATGCTTGACAAAGAAAAATATAGCTTGTATTATAAAGGCTTTTAAAGGCATGCAAAAATATATACAGTGCAATTAATGTTTCATGCAAACTTTGGTGAGGTTACAATTTTACATTCGAACATGCTGGAGTACACAACCGAGCCCTATAGCCGTTGTTCTTGGAAAACAACCACCCACAGATCTAACATGGAACTGTTTGTTTGTTGTAGTGAAATTTTCTCTAAATCCAGTGGACACTGAGAACACCACCTGTATGTCATATTGGAGTGTGTGTATATATATATTTATATAGGATAATACAATTTCTTTATCAAACACAACCATATTCATACCACACAGTTTTATTATCTTCAGAAACGAGGAGCGGGGATTCAGCCTCGCTAGTGTTTATGGAGGTGGCAGGAACAAATTCACTAGTCAGAACTGACCGTAGGTCACCACGGTCAGACTTCTGATTAGCAGAAGGCTGCTCTTGATTTTTCGGTACAGATCTAAATGCTGACAGATTTGATGTAGATCTTTGAGGCAATCCACTTATATTACTAACTAATTCTGTGTTAAGGGATAAAAAAGGCTGAGCCACAGTAAGGGATCCTGCGCTGTCATTACCAGATACACTGACCTTCTCATTAAAGACATTTGTGCTTAGCAAAGTTCTCTCACGGAAATTTGACCTTTCCATCCTTGAAGTCTTAGGCACATCAGAGTTACATCCTAAATTACGTGGTTTAACTGTATTAGCTGCATCGCTTTGTGGAACACAATCTACTCTGTAAGCCACACAGTGAAAAAAATGAGAGGATAACTGGTGTGCTGGGTACTCACTAGAGGTTGATGGAACGCTTCTGTCAGCGGTGGATGGTGCTGGATCAACCGATACAGGTTGCCTACTGTCCTTAGACAAAAAATCGTGAATGCTTGTCCTTCGAGTGGTTCCTTCTGCCGTAGAAATCACGCTGCTTGCACGAGGTAAGGTAGCATAAGGATTGCAATCTCTTGATTGTCGCTGTGATACAGTCACTTGTATCTTGTCTTTAACGGATTTGGCCTTTCCTTGAGTGCCTGATGTAAATTTTATCGGAGAGCTTGTAAAGAAGGTATCTTCAGTTTTACGAAAGCTGGGCCTTACAAGTTGCTCTGGTTTAAAGGATCGTCCATCTGAGAATTCAATTGTATTTTTTACGCTTAATGATCTCACAATACCACAACTGGTGGACGGCTGTTTTCTTAGCTTCTCCTTTCCTGTCAGCTCTGCAGACTCAGATAAGCTTTTCATGACTTCATCTAAAAGATTCTCTTCACTTGTAGATTTCATCTGTCAAAAAAATGAAACATCTTACATGTTTATAAATTGTAATTTTGACATCTCTTAAGCAATCTTTGTGGCTATAAATCAAAAAATTCTAAAAAGTTTTTGTTTTTCATTTCTCCGATCCAGAAGCGGTATTCAACATTTATGGTATATACTCATGAGTTTTCTGTACAGCTTACAAGCAAGTACTTTGAAAATGATGTCAGACAGATCACAACTATCTAAAATTAGTTCCTGCAGTACTGATTAATTCAACAAATCAGATGATCAAAACTTCAAGTTCATCTTCTCACTCACTTGCCCTCTGCCATCAGTTATCAGGACTTCCTAAGCAATTTCACATGGACTAGTATTTTAACTTAGACTGATCATCTGAAGCTAAAAGCTTAAATTTTCTCTATACACTCAAATAATAAAGACAAAAATCTCAGAAAGTAATACAAAACACATAACCTTTAGGCACTTGTGGTGCCTAAATTTGGACTGGCCAGTTCCCAATTTTTTTCTTTTTGGAGAAAAGACTTCAGAGCTAGGAAAAAAAGAAGCTGAGGTGAATACTATTCACACTCAGTGGAGAAAGACTGCAGTCTTCTTTCAAAACGGCGAAAGAGACAATTTGGAAAGAATTAAGGTAAGAGCACCAAGGAGATGCCCTGGCAGAAGACTGGAAAGAGACCTCCTGAATCCCCCTCCAACCTCAACGATTCTGTGATGCTATGAAAGAGATTTTGTGATTCATGAACAGCAGTGGACCAGACTTGATGACTTGGGTGGCTTCTTTTATTTCTACTGCCCCAAGAGTATTGTCTAATGCTTAAAAAGAAAAAAATCCAGAGAGACCACAGGTGAGGGGTCATTTTAAGTATCTAACAAAAAATCCAGAAACTTAGCACAGACTCAAGTCACTATCCCAGACTGCACAAATTGATTCAGCTGTGAATGTCTATTTTTCAATTTCGGTTGTATCGTTAAAAAAAGACGGAGGATGGTCCTTACTCTTGATGGCCCTAGTCACAGCCACTGGCCTGCTTTATCCTAGAGCACTTCTAGGCTTCAGAAAGATCTACTCCAGAACTAGTGATGAAGAAAATGGAATATAGCAGAGAAAAGGTGATTTGGGGCTTCTAACAAGCTGTCACCCATTTCAAGAAACATTCTCTTTGTCTTATTCTTCTTGGATTTCAATGAGCTCCAAGGTCAGGGTTTTTTGCCCAGTAGAGTTAAAAAGATGAAACTGAAGCAGACAAGAGTCTCTCCCCAGGGAATGAAGTAAAGCATCTTCCTTCCTGGTGATGCAAGACAGACCTGACAAGTGCTCTTAGTGAAGACAGTGGCTGAACTGGAAGAACAACAGTAAGCCTACTTTGAGCGTACGGCCTTCCCTCAGCACTCTGAGGAGCCTGCCATGCAGCAGCGCACTGGACAATTTTGTGCAACAGAGATCGACTTTCTTACCTAATTCAGTGATCTGTAAGGGGTCAAGCTGCGAAATTCCAAATGATTTTGTGTGTGATACAGCAAGCACAGTTTATCAGGATACTGTCTACGCTGCTACTTAATGCAGGTGTAACCAGTATCTGCACAAAGGTTTAAAGCAATTCTACTCACTCTTAAGTCTGCTGTTAATTCTGTGTCCCTATGTTGGATAATACGTGCTGAAATATTTTTTAAACTAACCTCACTTGAGGTACTCTTGTTGCTTTCTTCTAAAAACTGTTGCAGGGTAACAACTTCACTGCCAGGAGAACCGGTTTTGAGGTGTTTTCCGCGACTATCCAGTGTTTCAGGCGTTCGCTGCCGGAGCACAGGACTAGACCTCGTGTGACCTTTCAAATACTGAATGGGGCTGCTGCTGCTGCTAGACCAAGCCTCATGTTCGTGTAGCAGACTAAATTCTCCACTGCTGTGACTCTGTGGCCTGCTTTGACTGTTAACTGCACCTGCTTTTGGGGTAAATGGGATTAAGTATTCCACAAGAAAAAAATACATGAAAGCCGTTAAACAGTATAACCTTATTCAAATCTGGAACATTATCAGATTCAGTTAACAATAATTCTATTTAAAATACTAAAAAAATCCAGTTGTCCTTTTTTACTCAAACCAAGCATAGTATTAATACAATTGTCCTGCTCTGACTTACCTCTTACCGCTCTTTAACCATGACATGATAGCTTTTGAATTAAAAAAACCCCACCTTTCACTGACAATCTGGGCCTCCACCTACTTAATACTATATTCCAAGAGGCTAAAGATACGCCTCTGGTCTTGTTCAGCATCACTGTGGGTGCACGCTCTAGTATACTATTGATGAGTTTTACATTAAATGAAATACAAAGGATGGAATGGAAAGAAAATATTTTCTCCAACAGAGTTCTTCAACAAGAACTATTTAGGAATGATGCTTCTCCAACAGCTTCTGCCATTACTTCTGGTTTACTACAACTGTGACCTTAAAGAAGCATATGGCATTAAATGCAAAATAAACTCCACAACACCGATTCTTTCTATTTTTCAATAATTGTGAACTGCTTAAAAAAATACTGATAAATAATCAAGTATTTCCTACTTCATGTTACTCCTAAGAAATGAAACTGTTTGAAGAAAGATAAACTGTTTGCAACAGAAATTTCTAATACTGTATACAAACTGGGGCAAGGAATACCACAAAGAATCTTTTACAGAAGGGAGCAGACAGAAAAGAAACAAATAAAAATGTTAAGCTAGCATTCCTCTCTAAATTTCCAAACAAACAGATACTGTTTTAATTTAACATATGCAAGCCATGAATATTACGTGAAGTCTTGAGCTGGCAGTGTTCTAGTCTAGCACATACCGTGGTCTCCAGCTAGAATGGCCACTACAAACAAAAACGTATTGAGACTCATAACAGATGAAATTTAGAGAATATTGTTAAATCCAGGAACGTTATTAATCCTTTAAAAACAAAATATAAAACTTTTCAGGATGGTATCACATACGCCATTCTGTCTGGTTTGTGTTGTACACTATGGAGTTTTTCAGCAGCAGTGCACATGTAGCAGGATGCTAGGAGAAAAAAATGCAGCAACTTCTCTGCTTAAAAATAAGCAATTTTCAAGTCATTTGGGGGGTATTCTTATTTTGTGATGTTGTTACTTGGATTTGGTTTGGTTTAAAAGAGTTTGAAACTTACAAACTAATATCACCCTTGTAACATTTAGTGAAAACATAAGTTCTGTTAATACTTGTATCCTTTCCAAATTTGGGGCATGAAGGCTATAAAATGATGAAAGAAAAACATGTTGTAGTGTGTTGTGGGAATTTTTGGGGGTTTTTTTGTTGTTGTTTTTTAGTAACCTATAGAGATGAGCTCAGAGAGAAAATAATGGGAATGAAGCATGTATGTAAATTCACCTACAGCATACCTTTGACTTCATGAAGTGAAGCATTGTTATTGCTATTGCTAGTGGATGTTCTGCCACTATCAAGGCTGGCTGGTCTGGAAGCTAAATGGAAAATTAGGAGACATCTTGATGAACAAAATTTGAGCAGATGACACGGTACCTTTACATTCTGATCACAGAATGCTCAGAGGCAGGAATCATGCACTATTTCACAGGCTGAGCATGCCCATTGTCAACAAAGTGGTTTCTTACAGATCAGAAAGCGAAGGGATTTCCAGGCAGTCCAAGAGGACACTTTAGAAAAGGGCACTACAGGAATAGTAAGGTGCAAGGGAGAAGGAAAGAGAAATAGAGTGTACATTTAGAATCGAAACCGATTGGTTAGTGGGAAACCAGGATTTTACAGATGAAAGGATGGGCATACAGAAAGCTGCTCGTGATTAGGTCACTTACAACAGATTTGACAAGGAACCTTGCACATTGTTGAAATGCCACGAACAGGAGCAGCAAGAGCATCTGCACAGATAATGTCCTGTACTCCTATCCAATACAAGGGAAATGCACCATTATCATCTTCAAAAGCATTTGTTGCTCATACTAATTGTAAGCGTTTATACTGGAGTTAAAACTTCACTTCTATATAATCTATGAGAGCTTTCCACTTCA